AAAAGAAAGAAAGAAAAAAAGGAAAGAAAAAGACTTGCTAGGGCTGGGAAGGTGGCTCAGTGGTAGAATGCTTGTCTTGCATGCATGAGGCCCTAGGTTCGATTCCTCAGCACCACATAAGCAAAAAGAAAAAAGCTGGAAGTGGCGCTGTGGCTCAAGTGGTAGAGTGCTAGCCTTGAGCTGAAGAGCTGAGGGACAGTGCCCAGGCCCAGAGTTCAGACCCCACGACTGGACCCCCCCCCCAAAAAAAAAAAAGAAAAAGAAAGACTTGCTAAAATATTTGAACTTTCCTGGCTCCAGGCCTGTAGCTCTTGGGTCTGTCCCTGGATAAATGCTGTAATGCAAAATCCTTGGAATGTTGTGTGTTTTCCTTGTTTATTTTGGTGGTACAGGGTTTGAACTCAGAGACCCTTTGCTCAATAACCATATGTTTTACCATTTGAGCCATTATCCCAGCTGTATGTTTTTAAAGGTGAGGGAATATTATACACATATCTTCATACCAGGCACCTCCTAGGGGCCGCCTCAACTTAGCCACATCATCTAGAAACTCCCACTGGCCTGCTGATTCCTCAACTCAGCCTCTCAAATCCCCCAGACACTACTATAACCTAACGTTTCATCTCCCGTGTTTCCAACAGCCCTTCAGCCCTACTTCCTATGCCAACCCCAACTGAGAACAGGATGCATCCTTGTTTAGTTCATTTTCATTAACCTCTCAACTCACAGCAATCCTTAGCTCAAGGCAAAGCTACATGTCCCTCCCATTTGCTGTGTGGCCACTCAGCTCCCTTGGGCTAAATATAGCACAGCTGTGCCTTAGTGTGTCTAGAGCTTCCAGTCTTAGTCCCCCTCCCCCATCATTTTTCTTTTAACACCATAGGGAACACATGCTAGAAGCTTCCACTTGGGGTGGGGTAGCCCAACATTGTTGGACAGGGCTGGATGTGAGAGGGTGTGCTGAAGTTGGGATCACACAGAATAGGGCAACCTTCCCATCTGTGGTCAGACTTTTTTTTTTGGTCGGTCGTGGGGCTTGAACTCTGGGCCTGGGCAAGCGCTCTACCCCCTTGAGCCACAGCACCACTTCCAGTTTTCTAGTGGTTTATTGGAGATAAGAGTCTCACGGAGGCCGGGCGCTGGTGGCTCACGCCTGTAATCCTAGCTACTCAGGAGGCTGAGATCTGAGGATTGTGGTTCAAAGCCAGCCCGGGCAGGAGAGACTGTGTGAGACTCCTATCTCCAATAAACTACCAGAAAACCGGAAGTGGCACGGTAGCTCAAGTGGTAGAGTGCTCACCTTGAGCTGGAGAGCTGAGGGACAGCGCCCAGGCCCAGAGTTCAAGCCCCACGACCGACCAAAAAAAAAAAAAAAAGAGTCTCATGAACTTTCCTGCCTGGGCTGGCTTTGAACCGTGATCCTCAGATCTCAGCCTTCTGAGTAAGCTAGGATTACAGGCGTGAGCCACCGGTGCCCGGCTGATTTTTTTTTTTTTTTTTTTTGGGTCCGGTCGTGGGGCCTGAACTCTGGGCCTGGGCACTGTCCCTCAGCTCTTCAGCTCAAGGCTAGCGCTCTACCACTTGAGCTGCAGCGCCACTTTCACCTTTTTTCTTATGTGGTGCTGAGGAATCGAACCCAGAGCCTCAGGCATGCAAGGCAAGCGCTCTACCACTGAGCCACTTTCCCAGCCCCCTGTGGTCAGACTTTTAAGTCCATTTTTGTCAGTTGTTCATTCTGGGAAAGAGGAATAGGCAGTGTCCTGGGGAATCTTTTAACCATCCATCCTCCACCCAGTCCTATGGGCAGGTGTTTCCTCCATTTGCAGATAAGGATGGAGAGATTGACATAACCGAATGTTTGGAGTGCTCCATCTATGGCTGATTGTTCACACTGAACTGCATCATTAGTTTAGTCCCCTCTACATCAGAATTTCTATTAATATGACCGAATTTGGAAGAAAAAAGTGGTTTACTGAACAAGTTACTAACATAGAAATGCTTACATGGAAACAATTATTAAAGACTTGGCATATTAACAAAAATGATGTTATCATAATTTTATCTTATCTGTTTACTGAAGCAGGACTCCACAGAGATTTGTGCCTTGAAGTCTTAGTTACTGTGTGTTCTCAGTAGCATTTTTATTTCTGCTATTTTAAGACTTCCCTTCCCTTCCACTTTATATCACCTTAGTGAAGGTCCACAGCAGTGAGATTTGATTTTTGGAATGGTTGAAGGCTGTCACTTACTGTGATCTTGGGCAAGTCATTTAGCTGAGCCTTAATTCTTCATCTGTAAAGTGGGTATAAGAGCACCAACCTCATAGTTACTGTGATTATTAAATAACCTACAGAGGGCTGGGGGTGTAGCTCAGTGGTAGAGTGCTTGTATAACATACATGAGGCCCTATGTTCAATCCCGAGCACTGCAAACAAAAACAATTATATAAAGCAATTAGTACACCTCTTGGTCCATAGAAGTTGCTTAGCGCACCTTCCCCCTCTCCCCCCAAGACTGGGACTTGAACTTAGTATCTGACACTTTCACTTATTGGCTGATGAGCTACCACTTGAGCCACACCTCCAACCCAGCTTGTATATGTGACATACTGAGTAACCCAGCTTACTCAGTGTATCACAGTATATCACAGTATCTTTGGTTGTTTTTTTTTTTTGGGGGGGGGGTCCGGTCGTGGGGCCTGAACTCTGGGCCTGGGCACTGTCCCTCAGCTCTTCAGCCCAAGGCTAGTGCTCTACCACTTGAGCCACAGCACCACTTCCGGCTTTTTTCTTTTTGCTTATGTGGTGCTGAGGAATCGAACCCAGGGCCTCATGCATGCAAGGCAAGCGCTCTACCACTGAGCCACCTTCCCAGCCCTATCACAGTATCTTATTGTCAGCTCTGAGCTGTGATGCTGTGGGTACATCAACTTAACCTCAATATAGGGTGTTGAACATGACCATTAGTGGTTTGGCCTCGTTCTTCAAAGGCCCTGCAGTTGATCTTGATTATCCCATCCAGTTACTGCCATCCCACTCTCGGCCTAGATGAGCAAGGCATATATACCATCCATCTCTTGAGAATTCAGGCCACTGGAGAGGCAGCACAGGGGTGTGTGTGTGTGAACAGCAGAGAGGAGAGTTCCCATAGACACTAGGGATATGTGAAGGCCCTGGGGAGTTGCTGTGACCCTGGGTCTGTTCATAGAGCAGGAGTGTTAAGAAGGAAAAAAAGATGAACATCAGCTGCTGGACACATTTTCAATGCTGAAAGAGCCCTTTTAGGACACACACACACACACACTCTCTCTCTCTCTCTCTTTCTCTCTCTCTCTCTCTCCTATACCACATATATCCACCTCACAAACATACTTATCTCACATAAACATATACAGTCCGAGTAATCTGCAGAAAGAAGGCCTGGGATAGTGAGAGTCCTCCATGCTGTACCCTGATCCTTCCTCATTTACTTAGTAAGAGATTTGTCATCTGTCAAGTGTGCTAGGATGGATGAGCATTCCCAAATTTTATTACTAATCTAGAGAGGGTTCAGGTTATGCAAATTTTGGAGCCAGCCCAGCCTGGGGCGGATGATCATGATACTGCTTTGGTACTAGTTGTATATCTTGTTCATTTAAATTGTTATTATAAAGGTGATATCCAGAGTGGATATGTGTGTGTGTGTGTGTGTATGTGCATGCACGCACGTGTCCTGAGGTTTGAACTCAGGACCTGGGGAATGTTCCTGATCTTTTTTCTTTTGCTTGAGGTTAATGCTCTATCACTTATGCTACAGCTTCATTTCCAGCTTTTTTCGATTAGTTTGAAGATCAGAATTTCACAGTCTTTCCTGCCCAGAATGGCTTTTTTTCCCCCCTCGGTTGTGGGGCTTGAACTCTGGGACCTGGGCACTGTCCCTCCGCTCTTCAGCTCAAGGCGAGCGGTCTACCACTTGAGCCACAATGCCACTTCCGGATTTTTTTTTTCTGTTTATGTGGTGCTGAGGAATTGAACCCAGGGCCTCATGTGAGGCAAGCACTCTACCGCTGAATCATCTTCCCAGCCCCCAGGATGGCTTTGAACTGTGATCCTCAGATCTCTGCCTCCCAAGTAGCTACCAGTACAGCTGTGAGGCACTGGCACCCAGCAGTTGTGTATCTTCGTGGGTCATTTAGCCTCTTTGAAATTTTTTCCATTTGAGAAGTCTGAAACAGTTATTTAGTAGAGATAGGTGCTAATGCCAGTCATTTTCATTTTTGAAACTGGAGAGAGGCATCTCATCACAAGTAGCACATAAGGGCTCTGTAGACAAGAGGGAAGCCCCAGCTATTTCAAACTCCTGAACAAATCTCCTTAATCAAGCATACTTGAAGGGATGGAAATCAAGACAATAGAACCTCTCTCCCACAACTGGGATATTTTACTTACATTCCGTATGTTTCCTAAGAGCATCTGAGACAGTGTCGCTTGGGAGAAAACCCAGGATCTCTTCTCAATCTCAGTTCTTCAAATCATAGTTCTCATTTTCAGCTATGTATGTCCGTGGGAACAAAATCCTATCATTTAAGGGCTCTCCTCCATCTGGCCTAACAACTTTCCAGTGCCTGGAGCTCAGCAGATGGGGGATTAAGACTGATGCTCTGTTCTATCTCCTCCCCTCTTCCCTGACTTCAAAGTCCCATAAAGCCAGTCACTGATTTCTTGACCTCATAGTGGAAGCTCCAACATCAACTTTCAGCTGATTAAAAACAGCAGATGCTGAGCCTTGGCCTGGGTGCCCAAGTTCCACCTTCTAGCCATCTCTCTCTGAGGGTAAGTAACGGCATGTCCAGGACCAGGCCACCAGTCCTTGTTCTACCTGAATAGGAGGGGAGACCCAGAAAAGAAGTTGACTTGAGCAGGTGATGGGATGGAGAATCAGGCATTCTATTGGTGGAACCCCTGCTCTAAGGACCCAGGGCTAGTTAGTGACCAGAGCAGATATTTACAGGGAGTGGCAGGTGGAGCAACAGGGGTTCTCAGTCCAGGGATAAAGGTAGTGGGAACAGTTCAGGGACCAGAATTGTTCACTTAGTATTAATGTGCAAAGTATGCTAAATTCTATCGGAATTTAATGTCCCAACACATCAATCTGCCTCTGATGGTTGGGTAATTGGTGCTGTTAACTGGATGGTTCTGGATCCCTGCTACCAGATTTTGCTCAGTAGATCCCTCAGGAGCAACTGTCACAGACCCAAGACTAGAGGGGGCCTCTAAGATTCAAAGACTGTTGCTTTCCAATCACTGGATTTTCCCAGCTGTTTTTCTTGGCAGAAGGATCACACCCATAGGGATGCAGAGGACGGGGAAGCAGAAATCAGTAAAATAAAAATGAACTGGGAAAGAGGCAGATGTTAAGAAAGACATGGAGAAAGTGGCTACGAGTGTCCCACACCCCTGAGACAGGCTACCTGAAGAAGCAATTTTGCAAGTGGAGGCTGGGCTAGGCACAGAAGGATACTAGCAGGTAACACCTTTTCACTCCAGGTGGAAGAGAACTAGGAATTATTACTCTGAGGTATCTCCTTCTAGGACTTGGCTGAAGTCTAGGAGCTCCAGGGGCAAACGTCCAGGTCTAGGATCATGTCTAACAAAAGCTGGTGGGAGCCATCTGACGGTGAGGACACAGTGTCTGAGAAGTTCCTAAGGAAGACCAGGGAGTCTCCTCTGGTGCCCATAGGTAAGTGGGGGAAAAGAATGGAAGTAGGCCTTCTCTCAGAGCAATCATATCTCATCTTTTTTTCTGAAGGTGAATGATATAGGGACAGCAGAGCTTATGTGGTCTGTCTGCTACACAAGAAACTGCTACAATTAGAGTAAGATAGGAGGTGCCAGTCAACTGAGTGCATGGGGACACAGGCAAACGGCACCAACACTAGCCTCAGGATGGAGACTTTGTTTTTGTTTTGTGGGTTGTGGGGCTTGAATTCAGGGCCTAGGCACCATCACCAATCTCTAGTGCTCTATCACTTTGAGCCATAATGCCACTTCCGTTTTTTGAGTGGTTAATTGGAGTCTCTTGGGGGCTTTTCTGCCCTAGCTGGCTTCAAACTGCAGTCCTCAGAGCTCAGCCTCCTGAGTTGCTGGGATTATAGGTAAGCCACTGGTGCCACTGGAGACTTTGAATTATGGACCTCTCAGGGCTTAAGGATTTGTTCTGGGAGGTAGGAGCCAGCAGTGGTTGGAGGAGGACCCAAGAGTTGAGGTCGATGGGGTTGGAGGCATGGCTCAGGTGGCAGAACACCAGCCAATGACAGCATCAGATACTGAGTTTGAGTTCAGGTCTCAGATTAAAAAAACAAAACAGTTTGAGGTGGAGGAAGTCTGGGGTTTGAACTCAGGATCTTGAACTTGTTGGGCTGGGGCTCTACCATTTGAGCCACACTCCCAGACCATGATGTTTTATTTTTTAATTTTTTTATTTTTTTTGGGCCCGGTCATGGGGCCTGAACTCTGGGCCTGGGTGCTGTCCCTCAGCTTTTCAGCTCAAGGCTAGCGCTCTACCACTTGAGCCACAGCACCACTTCCGGCTTTTTTTTTTCTTTTTGCTTATCTGGTGCTGAGGAAGCGAACCCAGGGCCTCATGCATGCAAGGCAAGCGCTCTACCACTGAGCTACCTTCCCAGCCCCCATGATGTTTTATTTTTTTAGGAGGCAAGGGCATCAAGAGAGGGACACAACCAATTTGAAATGCCATTGTGGGGCCACAACTCAACATTCTAATGAGTCCCCTACCACTACTCCTACCTCCATTCCCATGAAAACAGTTGTTCAATCAAGGGTCCTGCCTGCCTAGCCTAGTGAGATGATCTCATCAGGAGAGCCCTGGGCTTGGAGGACAAGGCCCAAGGATCACATTTTCTGCCCTTAGGCTTAGGAGGTTTCCTGGTGGTGGCAGCATATGGGATTTACCGGCTGAAGGCTCGAGGTTCTACCAAGATGTCCATACACCTGATTCACACCAGAGTGGCAGCACAAGCCTGTGCTGTGGGTGCGATCATGCTGGGTAAGCAACTTGGTGAGGCCACAGAAGAATCAAGGCAGAACAGAGAAAGCCTGGGCTCTTCATCATAGAGCTCAAGAGCTCACAAGAGCTCCTGAGACTTTCTCAGGGTTCCCTGTTTCTGACTGATACAGGGTGCAGTCTGTTTCATGAGTTTGCTATAGCAGTGAGAAAAATCCCAGAGCATATAATTGCTAGCTTTAACACCACTAGACATCAGTATAACATGACAGTAACTAGCCTTGGATTGGTCACTTTGAGGTTTCTTACAGAAGGTATGTCAGAGTGCTTTGTGAGCTGTCAGATGGGATGTTCCCAAAGCTATATGGTTGGATGCTTAGAGTAGCTGTTGGGAAACTGGAACAGAAAGCCAAACAGGGAAGCTAGACTCAAGGGAATGGCTAAAAGAACCACTGGGACATCTGGGAGAGCCAGAGGACAAGTGTGGGGACTGGATGCCAAGAGGCAACTCTCTTCCTCCCTTGCACAGGTGCTGTATACACAATGTACAGAGATTTCAGCAAGAGGATGGCACAGGACTCTGGAGAGAAGTAGGAAACCTGAGTGGGCAGAACAGCCCATACCTTGCATCAGTCTCTGATGTACCTAATAAAGTAGTATTGTGGAAAGCCAACTGTTTTCTTCACCTGCAGAGAGTAGAGAAAGGGAATGGTGGTGGTTGTAGGAGAACCCAGTGCAAAGGCGGGAAACCAAAGGGCTCTGACCCCAACTCAGCCAGGGAGACACACAGAAGTGGTAGTCTCCTGAGGAGGTAAGGAGGCCAGGAGGCTTTGGATCACAGAATCTCAACAACTCCCATGCTACTTCAAGACCACATATGGAAGCAGCCTGGAGTGGAGTGGAAGATTGGGGGCAGGGCCTTGAGGCTCACGGGAACACAGAACCAGAGGCAGGCGGCAGGCTTTCCTCCCACCACAGACTGCTTCCCTGGAGACTTAGGCAGGAAGGAGGTTACAGCTGGGAGCACAGGCCGGTGATGCCTCATGGGAGATCACATATCCAGAATGTAAGCATTAGGACTAGAGAAGAGCCGGTTAGATAAAAGAAGCAGGCCAAGCAAGACAGAGGTCAAAATGCTCTGTTCACTTACAAACCATAGTTAGGTTGAATTTGTAAAAAATAAAATTCCATGTAAATCCTGACAATGGGGCCCTTTGAGGTTAAACATTTTCTTTCCCTTCTCTTTCCCGAGGCCCAAGTTTCTCTCTGTTCTTCAGGAATGGAGCCAGGCAGAGGCCACAGAAGTTAGCAGGAGGCCAAGTGCCCCTTCCTTACTGGGACTCTGGGTTGGTGGTTTGTGGGTTATTCCAGATGGCCACAGCAGTTCCCAGACACTCTGACATGAAGGTCAAATGGCACAGATCTCTGCTTCAAGTCCAGGACCTGCGGCCCACCACAGGGAGCAGACACTGCACTCACATGGGGTAATTGAGTACAACATCCTGTTTGGCAAGCTCCAGCAACATAGGATCATCAAAGAACTTGCTGATGCTCACATCTTCACTCAGGCCCTGTAGAGAATGGGACAAATGTAAGACCAAGCTCATGCAGCAGCTAACTGAGCTGTGCACTGTCCAAGACCTGTCTGGGGTGGGGGGAGGAAGAATGGGCTGTTCTAGAAGGTTTTTGTTTTTTTTTTTGATCGGTCACGGGTCTTGAACCCTGGGTCTGGGTGCTGTCCCTCAGCTCTTCAGCACAAGGCCAGCACTCTACCACTTGAACCACAATGCCATTTCTGGTTTTCTGGTGGTTAATTGGAGATGAGAGTCTCACAGGCTTTCCTGTCTGGGCTGGCTTTGAACCGCGATCCTCAGATCTTAGTCTCCAGAGTAGCTAGGATTACAAGTGTGAGCCACCAGCACCCAGCTTTTTTTTTTTTTTTTTTTGTAAGTTGTGGGGCTTGAACTCAGGGCCTAGGCTTTTGTTCAAGGCTAGAGCTCTACCACTTTGAGCTACAGTGCCACTTCGTTTTCTGCTGATTAATTGGAGATAAGAGTCTCATGCACTTTCCTGCCTAGGCTGGTTTTGAACCACGATCCTCAGATATCAGCCTCCTGAATAGCTAGGATTACAGAAGTGAGCCATTAGTGCCTGGCTACAAGCTGTCTTTAGGTTGTTGTCACTGCCCTATTTCCTTTGGGCTATAGTTCTAATTGCCTGAGGATGAACAGCTCATATTTTTCCTTGCTGTGCAGTGAATGCTTTTCAGTTTATAGGCACTTAGGAGAAGAATCCAAAAGGATTCAGAGACCTGGGCTCAGAGACCTGGAGTTGTGGGGGGACAATGGGTTTGAGGGATACATACTTTCCTCCGACGAGTTTTGATCATGAATTCCCGGGCAAGATGAGGAGCTGGCTGTGGCTCTAAGGGGCGGATGACAATGCTCTTGTCCAGAGGATCACCAGGTACAATCTGAAAATAAGAGGGGTTTCTGATGATCCAAGCAGACTCCATAGAAAGTCCTGACCAGAAGCAAGCCTCTTCTCTAGTCAGGTATCTCACTTGGGATTTAGAGGAGGAGCAGGCCAGAGGGGTTGAGCTTTGTAAAAGTGCGAGAGCAAGCTGGCCAGCCTGCCCTGTATTCTCACCTGCCAATGATGGAAGACAGACAAGGAAAACGCCTGTCCTTGGGTGTGAGTCCGCAGATCAGTCTCAAAGCCAAAAGAGTCGATGGCTGGGATGAAAGCTTTGATAGTGTAGAGAGGGGAGCCTGGGATGGGTGCATCCTGAGTTACGTGCCCCCTAAGACAGAAAAAGAAAGGCAGAATCCACAGTTACACGTAAGTCAAAAGCAATGAAGCAATCTGCTTTTTTTTTTTTTTTTGTGCTGGTCCTAGAGTTTGAACTCAGGGCCTGAGTGCTGTTCCCAAGCTTCTTTTACCTTATGCTCAAGGCTGGCACTCTACCACTTCAGCAACAGCTTCACTTCTGGCTTTTTTTTGTTGTTGTTTGGTCTGTTGTGGGGCCTGAACTCTGGGCCTGAGTGCTGTCCCTCAGCTCTTCAGCTCAAGGTGAGTGCTCTACCACTTTGAGCCACAGCACCACTTCCATTTTTTTATTTTTTTCTGGTGGTTAATGGAGATAAGTCTCACAGATTTTCCTGCTCCAGCTGGCTTTGAACTGCGATCCTTAGAGCTCAGCCTTCTGAGTAGCTAGGATTATAGGTGTAAGCCACTGGTGCCTGGTTTACTTCTGGCTTTTTTTTTTTTTTTTTGGGTAGTTTTTAAATTGGAGAGTCTCATAGATTTTCCTGCCTAGACTGGCTTTGAACTGTAATCCTTAGATCTCAGCTGCTGCTGCTTCTTTTTTTTTTAGTCAGTCGTGGGGCCTGAACTCTGGGCCTGGGCACTGTCTCTCAGCTCTTCAGCTCAAGGCTAGCGCTCTATCACTTGAGCCACAGTGCCACTACCAGCTTTTTTTGCTTATATGGTGCTGAGGAATCGAACCCAGGGCCTCATGCATGCGAGGCAAGCATTCTACCACTAAGCCACCTTCCCAGCCCCAGATCTCAGCTTCTTGAGTAGCTAGGATTACAGGCCTGAGCCACTGGTTCCTGACCAATCTGCCCTTTTGTTCAGCTAGTCCTGGGGCTTGAACTCAGGGACTGGGCACTGTTCCTGAGCTTTTGGGATCAAGGCTAATGCTCTACCACTGAGCCACAACTCTACCTCCATCTTTTTTGGTGACTAATTGGAGATAAGAGTTATAGACTTTACTGCCCAGGCTGGCTTTGAACTTCGATCCTCAAGTCTCAGATTCTTGAGTAGCTAGGAGTACAGGCATGAACCACCAGCACCCAGCTCAGAAAAATCATATATTCTCATCTATAGTAAGCTGGGGAATGCCTCATTTACTGCTTTGTTCTGGGAAATTAGCTCACTGGGTTTCTGAGTGGAGAAGTGAGGAGGTTCAGCTTTTCTCTCCTGTAGAGCTGAGGGGTTTGGTGTTCTGCTCTTCCTCTCAGCACTCTTCTCTAACATGATGAGCTGCTTACCTGCGTCTGGCCAGGACAGTGTAAACAGCTGACACACAATCTGCAGGGGCCTGAACCTCTACAAAGTAGTAAGGCTCCATCAGACGAGGGGTGGCCTGCACAGAGCAAGAAGGGCTTAGGCTGAGGATTAAGATTCCTTAGGTCCCCAAAGCCGGGTTCTCCTCAACCAAGGAGGACGGTCCCCTACAATCCTTCTCTCTTACCATGAGGAAGGCAGAGTAGACGACTCTCCTGGCTGTGGGGATGATCTGGCCCCCACCTCGGTGCAGGGGCTCTTGGGCAACCACTGCATCCAGGATCTTAAACTTGACATTTCGAATCACTGAAAAGGAGATGGGGACAGTTGCACGTAGTTCTAGGGCTAGTCCTGGGGCCAGAGCATCTTGCCCCATCTCAGCCATAAAAGATATAGGACAAATATCACAATCAGCAGGGCCTGTAGCAAAGAGGTCAACAGTAAAGCACATAGTGTTTGCTTCAGGCCATGCTTGGACATTCACAACTTTCCCACTGTAGGTGTGGGGTCAATTAACCACTCTAATTACTTATCTCCCTCCCTCTCTTCCCAAATTAAACTCAGGGCCTTGTGTATAGTAGGTAAGTGCTTTATCATTTGAATAATATCTCCAGCCTCTTATCTTTTGGACAACTCCTCTTAACACATCAAAAGATAGATCCTTCAAGAATAAGGAGTAATGTCAGTCTAGCACATCAAAAGATAGATCCTTCAAGAATAAGGAGTAATGTCAGTCTAGAAATGAGTTCATTTCTAGGATATACCAAATACTGAATCCAGGAGAGGAGGAAAGGATGGCTCAGGATGGTTCAATATACTTCAAGTTGTTTTTGCTGCTAGGTCCCATACATGAAGAGCCCACCCCAGATGGCCAGGTGTGAGGGTTTTGGGGACAGACGCAGGAAGTACTTGCAGACTTACACTCATCACATAGGGGCCCCTCCCTGGTTCCCCACTGGAAACCTTGAACGATGCTGTCCTTCACTGAACCAAGAAGAGCCTTGTCCACCTGCACAGAAACATAAGGGCTCCTTAGCAGTCCCCTGGCAATAGCCAATGAATTTAGAGGGAGAAGAAGAACAGAGGAACAACTGTGACAGCACACACTTCTTCATCAGGGGTCACAAATGCCCTTTGGAAATAACACTTTGCACTTCTACTGAGAAGCTTACAGATTGTCATGCAGTTCCTATGGGGTCTGCAGTACCTCTGAGGGCAGGGTATCATCTACCAGGATGTTGGGGCCTGTGGCATCAGGGCCAAAAGCCCAGATAGAACGGGCAGCCAGCAGATCCCAGTCATACTTGGTCTGGAAGAACTCTCCCAGCTTCTTCCTAAGGAGAGAAGGAGAATGTGGAAAGCTCTATGCTGCTGATTTCTAAAGCAATGGAGCCTCCCCTGTCCCCCCCTTTTTTTGTCATGGGGCCTGGCTCTGTCCCTCAGCTCTTCAACTCAAGGCTAGCGCTCTACCATTTGAGCCATAGTGCTACTTCCGGCTTTTTCTGCTTATGTGGTGCTGAGGAATCAAACCCAGGGCCTCATGCATGCAAGGCAAGCACTCTACCACTGAGCCACCTTCCCAGCCCCTGGAGCCTGCCTTTTTAGGGGACAGTCTTGCACCGACACACTGGGTCCAGGACAATAGCAAAGGAGGTACACCTTCCCCAAAGAATATGTGATGTTAGAAACCAGGCAGGTAAGCTGTGTCATCAGCTCTGGGAGGTACAGCTGCATCCCTACCTGTTCCAGGTGATCTGGACCACCTCATTTTCTATATCTTCAGCAAGACCCTTCTCAAGAGGTTCAGCAATCATGGTGATCTTATTCCTGGTGAGAAAGGACATGGGCAATAAGGAGGGTTCAAAAAACTTATAGGGGACATTTCTAAGAAAATGGTAACAAAGCAGACAGTAAGCTGGGTACCAGTGGCTCACACTTATAAACCTACTCAGAGATATGAGAATCAAGGTTTAT